GTACCACCAGCCTCTATGATGATGAGATGCTTCATCTTACTGTCTTCAAAAGTAATATGTGTGGTACATATTCATACACTGTAATCCTCTGAAAGAATCACAAGGATACAAACCAACATGTAAAGAAATAAAAGTTATATTGATAAAATACATTTCAAATGTAGTTGTAGAATCTGGGAGACCAAAAGATTGAACAGAGAGTTCAGCTGATTGTAAATACGTTCATCAAACTGTGAGCTCTGTGTTGTTTGTTGAACTTGCTATGTCTTGCTTTCTGTGATGGCTCTGCTTTCCTTTGGTGCTACTTTGTGCATTAGAGCATCCTATTTGCAAGAGCTGGCGTCTTGTGAGAAAGCTGTGTTGAGGCTTTAACAGAGACGTTAAGAGTCTATCAGCTTTGTTTTAATTAGACTTTCAGTGAATGGTATAAACAAAACTATACAATGGTAACAATGATTGCTTGCATGTAAGAATTTGATTTTACTTGATCCCTGCTTCTATACTGCATTTTTTTCCCTCCTTTTCAGGTGAGATTTTAAGTAATTTTGCCTTGAAGGGCTTTTTTTCTAATGCTTTGCAGTCTGACTGTTTCTCACCTTTTCCTTTTTTTGTCTTAAAAGCGTTTGCCTCAGAGCTTGCATTCTAAGACATGATGTGCCAACTGATAATTTCTGCAAAAATATTTATATCAGTCTTTAATCTTTGATATATTATAATATTATGCAAGAAGCATGCTTCATATAAAAGCCTTGTTTGGAACTGAAACCAAAGTCTTTCTGGGGCTTTCCTCATCTCATTCCATTGAGTGCTTCGATTGTAGCCCAGTCAGATTATGTGAAGAACAGGAAAGACATGTTGGTACTAGAATAAATAAATCATTTATAGCAATGTCATATAAAACAATCTTAGGAACACAGAATAGCTGAGGTTGGAAGAGACCTCTAGTTATCATCTCGTCCAAGCTGCCTGCTGAAAGCTGGGTGTGCTAGTGCAGATGGAGACTTGAGAGCCTCTTTGGGCAGCTTGTGAGCAACCTTACCGTGAGCAACCACCCTCACAGTAAGAAGGTGTTTTCTTATGTTTAAATGTAATTTCTCATATTTCAATTTGTGCCATTTGCTTCTTGTCCTTTTGCTGAACACCACTGAGAAGAGTCTCAGTCTTCTTTGTGCCCTCTCATTTATATCTATTGATAAAATCTCCCCAAACCTTCTCTTCTTGGAACTAAACAATCTGTCCTCTCCCAGCTTCTGCTTGTAGGTCATGCTGAAGCCCTTAATCATCTTCACAGCCCTTTGCTGGACTTACTCAAGTAATCTACATCTCTACAGTACAAGGGAGCCCAGAACTGGACATGATCTCCAGAGGTGGTTTCACTAGTGCTGAGCACAGAGGAAGCACTTCCTAAAGTAACCCAGGATGTTGTTAGCCTTCCTCGGTGCAAGGGCGCATTTCTGGCTCTTGTTCAACTTGATGTCCACCAAGATCCCCAGGTCCTTTTCTGCAAAGCTGTGTGATGATTGATCTCCACTGGTGGGTGGGGATATTCCTGTGGAGATGCAGGGCTTTACACTTCCCTTTGAACTTCAGGGCATTTGTGTTTGACCAGTCTGTTGAGGTCTTGCAGGAATGGCAGCAGAACCATCTGGTCTGTCAGCCGCTCTTCCTATTTCTCTACCATCTACAAACTTGCTCAGGGGCTCAGAATTAAGGTCATTAGCAGAGATGTTAACGATATTGGCGAGGTATTGCTCCCTGGTGTACTTCACTAGTGACTGGCCTACAGCTGGACTTAAAGATCCCCTAGAGTGTGCTGCAGTTTCCCGCAATCCTTCGAGGCTGGTAGTTTAGTCAGTTTTCAGTCCACTTTGCTGACCACTTCTGTAGTGTGTGCTTCATCAGCTTTTCTAGGAGAATGTTACCAGAAATGGATTTGAAAGCCTTGTTGAAGCCAAGATAAACAACATATGCTGCTCTTCCCTTATCCACTGAGCTAGTCATTTCATTGACTACAAGACTGTCGGGTTGGTCAACCATACTTTCCTCTATATAAACCTAAGCTGACTACTCTTGATCTCTTTGCCTTTAATATGTTTAGAAATGCTTTCCATAATTATTTGCTTCACAATATTCCCAAGAATCAAGGTGAGGCTGATGGGTCTATTGTTCTCCAAGTTCTCCTCTCTGCTTTTCTGGAAAACAGGAATGATGTTCCCTTTTTTTTTCCATCATCAGGAACCTTTCTAATCTCTGTAACCTCTTAGAAGATGAGATCCCAAACCAGGACCTCAGCTGCTATCATCCTTCTGTCATCACTGGAACTTGCAGAGACTTTTTGCTTTGGTTAAACTTTCTTTTTTTTTTTTTTTAAAGACTTGAGCCAAACGGAGCAGTAAAATTAAATTTCTCTCTTCTGATTTCTCTCTCTTTTTGTTTGTTTGTTTGTTTATATCTCTGGTTAACACTTCTTGAGCATTTCCATGTGCTGCTACTGATGATTTTAAACTAATTCTAGTGTTCTCTTGTTAATAATCCACTAGAATTTTTTGCTCATCTGCAAACAATGAATAATACTTAACTTTCAAAAGTAGGTTTTCCATTTTCCTGTTTCAGCTGTATTACTTCTTGCCCATTGAAACGTAATTGTATGGAAAGAGGGATTCGATTTCTCTGTAAACTCTAAAAAGGCATAATGGTCGCATCTCACATTGGGTCTGTGAAGGTCTTCTGGGAGTATACTTCAAATAACTATGCAAAAACATAAATATAGACTATATTTAACATAGTGCAGGGTGACAATCATCACTTAGTTTTCATCACATTGGTTTTGTGCTGTTGAAATAATAACAATACAGCGAATTTACAACTCAAGTTAAGGAAGGCTTTTCATTTGGAAGGTTCTTCCAAGATTATTGTCTCCTTATTTCTCCATCTTTAAAATATCTAATGTAAATTTGCCTCATTGTATTTGGTAACCTAAAGCTTAGAATCTTAGGCCAATTTGTTGTAGTGTACATGGCTTACACAGGTAAATAGAATCACCCTTTGGAAATTCCTATTCTATGTCTAAGAAGATTCTGGCTAGGGATCTATCAAGGGATAGAACATATCAGCCTATCCCAGTAGCTTAAAAATCAGCTTTACCACTTTAATATTTCTTGAATTGCTTCTTTTTCTGAGGTTTTATATAGATCGTGAGTTATTAACTAATTGGTAAGTGAAAGTATATTTTTGCTCTTTAATTATATAATATTGTTTTTCAGAATTATTAGCAATGCTTCTAAAAATACTTAAAATTTTTTCTGAGGGAAGCTTCTTGCATATGCTTCTAATGAAAACAAGACAGCAATATAGCAAGACAGCAATTTTACCATTGTAAGATAGATTTTAAAATATATTTTTATCCATTTCACTTTGTTTAGTTTCAAAATTTTGAAATTAATTGGTTAAGGAGTCGTAATTCATGGGAGTAACTGTGAACTGTAATGTGTGTTGATGATAAGCTTATTAAGTAAATATCAATACAGAGGTCAATGGAGAGTCTGTTAAATGTTCTCTTACAGATTGTAATTCTGCCTGAAGTCAGAATTAAAACATTATGACACACGCACAAAAAAAGGGTAAAATTAGGCTCCCACATTCCTGTCTGGACATGTAGTAAATTAAATAATTTTTTAAAGTCCTGAAAACCTGTTAGCTTCTGTTGCCACTTAAATTGCATGTTATCCAAGCACTGATCCTCCCCATTTTCTTCAAAGGGAGTGTTAGTTCTGCACAGAGGTTATATAGCTCTGTGCTGCCCAACTTGTGCCATGGCCTTGCAGTGACCATGTGTGTTCTTGACTGCTACTAGGAACTGAAGAATGAAATATTCAAGGAGTTGTGTCATTTGTGTCAAACCTTGTACTGATGGTTTGACATGTTCCTAATCTTCTTGCCCTGTGAATATATTGTGTACTGTGGTAGTTTTCCAACTCTCCATGTGTGGTACTGTGGCAGAGATTTGACTTTAATATACTTGGATCTTTGACTGTCATACTTAGACTCGAAACGATCATTTTTTGGGGCACAGTGGTTCTTTAGCTTCCACATTAAATATGAATAAAATACCACCCTTTTAATTTCAGTGGCTTTTACAGTTTGATTGCAGCCCTCATAAATTTAAAATAATAATTCTGTGTTCAAAATTACATAGAAGGTGATCATTTTCATTTGGAAATTACATATCACTATTCCCAACTCTTTAATTTGCCAGTATTGCATAATATCACTATATTCATCTAATTCTTGAGACATCTGCAAATTAATTGCACGGAATTATGAAAATTGAGCTTCAGACACATTATTTCTTGTCATGTGCTACCTTTTGAGATGATGATGCTGTGTGCCACCTTTCCAGATGACGAGACATAATGACACAAAATAACAGAAGGAAACTGCTGTGCAATGTTTCCTGCGTGGCTAGAGGTGTAGGAACCCAGATCATTAAAAATGTCTAGTAATCTTCTACTATACCCAGTCCAGCATGTTATGTCCAATAATAAACTTAATTCTTTTAATCCTGACTCATGTTGTGTTCCTATTAATAGCTCCTTCCATAATTTTTCATGCATTTCAAAAAGAGTGTTAAAATATACACACACACACACACACACACATATATATATATATAATATATCTGTTCTAAAAACTTCTATAGAAAGAAAACTCAGTTCCCATAGCTTAAGGCAGGGTGTATTGAAAGTAAAGCACAGGTTTCTGCCACCGTATATTAACAAAAAAAAAAGTTAAAAGGAAATGGTCTTCATTTGACTTACTCGTTGTGTTCTATAGAAGCCCATAAATCAGAATTTTTAAACATAAATTTAAAATGTCTTTATTATATAGCGAAGTCATTCTAGCATTAGTAATACTAAGATTGTTATTCATATTGTAAGCTGATCATAAGCAAGTATTTTTAAATTTTCACTTACTAAGCATTTTGTTCTTCTTATTTGTAGAACATTCAAGCTATCTCTAAACATCCAGTCAGAATTAAAAAGAAACAGTACGTAAAAGGTAAATTATATTTTTACTAACATGGAAAGGCAATCTTATGTAATTATTTTACTGAGTTATATGATAAAATATTTTAAATGACCCAAACTGTAAAAGCACGTAAAAGTACAGTTCATTGATGCACTGTTATACATTAGCATTTAAACCAATTGCTTTCTGCTGCTTTTTCCCTTGAGAACATTGCTGCTTCAGCATTGATCTAAATACTCATAGTTTTTAAATTTTCTATTCCCCTTGACAGTTTTACTGTTCCTTTTTCCAGATGAAAATTAAAACATCTGAACTTTGCAAATCATCCTCAGGACTGCTTTGTGTGTGTCCAACTCATAAAGCTTTTCCTGGGAAATTAAATTAAGCCATTTTAATGAAACTCACAACTGAGCCCCAAAAGTTAGTCAGATGTGTTGGGTTTGATAGTGAAAATGGGCCTGTGCAGAGGAGATTCAGAGAGGATCAAAGGGCAACCTAAAAAAGCACTACCTAAGTAATAGATACTCACAATAATAATGGGATCTAATATAAGGTTGATCTACACACACTGTCCTTCTTGGAAGAGCCCCGGTGTGGACATGCTGCTCATGTGTTGTACTTGGTTCTTAGGTAAGGGTGGGTTTGCCTTCTCACAGCTATACAGTCCCTGGATTAGAAGTTATAGTACAGATCTAAAACAAGGGTCTGTTTTGGACCTTTTTTGGAAACTGGAGGCAGTAGAAAACGTTAATAGTAGGTTAAATTTACTTGCCCAATGGATTTTTGTAAATATTACTTTAAAACTATTAAAGCCATGTGAGCAGTGGCTGTATAAACCTGTAGCTTTGTACAAATGTGGCACATTTGTCTAAGTAGTCCGATAGATTCATTAATGATCTTATAGATAATACAGGCTTCTCCAAACTATATTTCAGAGTTTTTCTCTCCTGTGTCAAGACATGCTTATTTTTCCCCACTGCTATGCTGTCAGCTGTCAGTAATCACTGATCAGATGAGTTTCACTGTATGTCAAACTATCATCCCTTCCTATGCCAGCATATTTAATTGGGGGTTGAGAATAGCATATGTTTGTCCCATTCTCAAGGAAAAGAAGAGGAAATCATAACCATTTCCCCAAGAACCTTCTTTGTTTCAAACACAGGCTATACATTTTTAGCAGCAGGTAAGATAATTCTTTTTATTATTCTCATACATATTAATATTCTCAGTTCTGCGATCTCGTCTTCCTATTTTTTTGCCTAATGTTGCATATTGCAAGGCAATGAAATTCCTTATTAATTATTAATATTGTTATATGCTGTATACTCCTTACTGTGTTTTGGACTAATGTCCTAGAAAAAGTTGACATGCAAGCTGTGTCATTAGAAGCTTCCAAAAAAAAAGAGCTAATAATGTTAATTGACACTTGAAAATAATGAAGAAATCAAGCACTTTGTGATCTGTAGCTGGACCCTTTTTATGGACATCTGGTTTTGTTGAGCAAGAGGAAATGACTGAACACTCTAGGCCTGAACTGGATTTGTTCAGTTAAAATGCAGATAGATTGTTTTGTTTTGTTTTGTTAGAGGAATAGATTTGTTTTAACACTCTGTTTGCTAGATTTTTCCCATATTGAACTGAGGATCCTTGCTGACCTGACATCTGATCCAGAACTTTTGAAACTATTTCAAGAACCTGAAACCACTGATATCTTTGCCACACTGGCTTCTCAATGGTAAGAGAAAAAAATATTTTTGGTTAGTAGACAAAACAGCAAAAATAATTTAATTTATTACTATGTAGTGGTAGTAAAAGGCCATGTTTTATTCCAATAGTTGGTGTTAATCTAATGTTTTTTCAGATACTAAGAAGTACAATTTCTTTTCTGTCTTTCTGATTTGTTCTCCACTGTCATAATTGCCATATTTAAAAATATTGTAATCCGGGTGACTGATATGAGCCTTGTGACTAGAACTGAAGGAATCGCTTATTGTGAATAGGGCATACTGGTACTTTTGCACCGTATCTGTGTTCACCAAAACATCTTAAAAATACCCAATCAACTGTTAAGTAGATTCTCAAGCTGAAAGATTGTGGAACTGTATTTCTCAATAAAAAGAGAAGTATTTTGAAGCCAGCTTGGTTATTTGACAGAGCTAGTGGAAACAAATTACCTAATTACAAGAAGCAGAGAGACTAGGGCTCATGGGATGCCTTTTAATTCATAGAGATTGTGATGAAAATTTGATGCTTCAGTCGCATTAAAAAAGTTTTTGGCTCCATTACCCATGTAAACAGAGTCACCCACAGTAGTAGATTCTAATATAAAAATACTTATACTGCTCATTTGTTAATTATTGTTAATTAATCATTAATTGATCATTACTGATTGTAAAGCTCATGACTGCACATTGAAAGATCAGCTATCAAAACAAAGGGAGACGAGCTGCATAGGTGTCTGAAGGTGTTTCTTACTGCTTCCTGTTCCACTGTGAACCCCCCAAAATCTCAGCTGAGACTGAGACTCCCCTTGTGGTAGAAGTGCAGAAACCGTCAGTAAAAGGCAGGGTAGGTCTCCCGCTTTGATCCAAGAAGTGAGACAAAGATCAAATAAAATGCCATAACAGAGAGGCAGATTAAATAGAATCATATTCTGTGATACCATGTGCATTTCATGTGATTTCCATACACTGCCCTTGCTTTCCTCACTCTCTTTTTAAAATCTCTTGTACTTTTTTTAGGCAAAAAAAAGAAAGCAATAATAGAGGTAATTTAATTACAGTTCAATTTCTGTAGTTTCTCTACTATTGTAGGCACAACCTTCCCTCTCAGACGTAGCAGTTCCTTCTCACTGCAGCATTTGCTACTATAAAGTAGAAAAAGAAACAAAATGTAGCCAAAATTATAATTACCCCCCTGCCGGCAACTGAATCAGTGCTTGAGAGATGTGCAGTGTGAGAGGAGAGAGCTCAAGGTCACCAACATCCCAAAAATGCAGCTGTGGAGAGATCACCAGAGCTCTTTAGAGTACCTTAGAAGCTCCTATTGATATTATAATCAATCCTTAGCTCTGACATGATGGCACTAGAATCTCATGATGGACTTAAATCCTTGTTTTAGTTTGGAGGTATATTGCAAATGTATGCATGAGTGTGAGTCAAATTTTGCCTCAGCTCCAGGCAAGGCTCCAGAAATATTATTCTATTCAGCAAGCTCACAGCTCTTGGCAGGCGTCAGCCTCTTATAGTTGCTACACAGTAGCTTTAAATTTAATGAAATATTACAGGCAAATATTTTTACCAGACAGAAGTGTCATGATGTGTCTACAAAATCATTACATAATGATTCTGCAAAGAACTGCTGACTCTCATTTAAGCTTCAGGAAAACTAATGCTTGGAAGTAACTTTATATTGTACATGGTATATGCCCACTATTAAATATGGAAACATGAAGGGTTAGAAATTAGTTTATGGAAAAGTCTGTGTATGGTGGCTTTTGAGTGTAGCAAGCAGAGTGAAAACAAAAATATCTGCTAGATAACATAATTATCCAATTGTCGGAACATAGCAAAGGTCTGAAGATATGGGATTTGACTGTTTTTTAATATAGTAGCTTTTTAGTAGATTTTTAATATAAATATCTATTTCTTTAAAAAGGGCTAAATAATATCTTAAACGTGTATTTAGAAAAAAGTTTGCATGAAATGAACTGAATTAGTTGAAGTTTAGCTTCTACTTTAGAAAGCCTTATATAACTGATGCCAGCTACCTGCACGATCACCTTGTGTTATGTTGTCCTGATGCCCTGTGACAGTCACATTGCTCTGGAAGAGCAGAACTGTCACCCAAGTGCTGGAGACGACGAGAGCTGCGTTGGCAGCTGTCTGACCAGCCAGGAGATGTAGCTGCCACAGGGATCCAGATGACAACAAATCTCAATAAAATTGCTTTCACTCCTTCAGCCTAGTGATTCCCACAATAAATAAATAAATCATTTTTGTTTAAAATGCTGTTCCAGAGCAGGGAAACACAGTAAAATGCTAAGATTTGAATACAGTCAAAATCTAACTAGATAGATCAGCAAATATCTTAAAGTCCCTTGCAAAGAGAGAAGATGAAAAATAAGTTTGCAGTCTTTTGGGTGGTGTTTGCATTTTTTTAAATTGAGATAGAGATTACTAGGCTGTTTTTTGAATTGTTCTTTTTAGCTCAGTAGGTTCATGTTCTTCTGTCATGATATATTTTGATGTTGGTAACATTTGGTCAAACTTCAGGCAAGAAATCTAAATTTAGCTAAACACAAGCATATAATAAATACGTGGGATTTGTCATACCTGCACGAGCTATACTTTGTTATCTGATTGCATCCTTGAATTGGAGTAGTATTTTTCAGAGTGCCTATTACTCAAGCAAGTTCTTGTCTTCTTTTTAGATGGCTTAATCCTTAGAGAGATCCCCAGTATTGGTTAACACAGCTGCACCCAGCACAGCCTACTGTTACTACACTATTTAATAGTCTGGAACTAGCTGAGTCACTGTAAGCCTTCCCTGTGTTCCAGTGTGTGGTACAGACATAATCTTTGATATCTGCAAACTAGATGCACTTCCAATGTTTTAGGTTGCTGAGACTGCAATAGAACTGGGAGTTTAGGGTTGGGTGCCCACGTCGCCTACGCAGTGCCAAAGAGAGCGTCTCACAGGGCGAAAAGGAAAGATGTGCTCAGCGCAAACTGCCTAAGAGAGGCCTAGTAGAAATTCTTATCACAGAAATCGGTGTTTGAACTCCTTAGAAGGCGGAAGCGGGATGGCAAGGGCAGCCAGACAGTTGTTGTCCAAAACCTGTACCTGAAGACAGCTGCTCGTGAGTGTGCTCTGAAATAACTCAGCAGGGTTCACTCTTCCAAAGTGACTCAGCTTTTATTTAAGAGTTAGCTACCAGAAGACCTTTGTTCAACCTTTTTTTTTTGTCTAAAGTGTTTTTAGGCAGGTGAGACTGTGTCATATGCTTCTAATGAGAAATTATATATAGTCACACTGAGTAGACCTGGAACTGTGAAACTCTGTTTTGCAGTGCTAAGACAAATTACCAGTATATCTCCAGTATGGAAATGCTTGGGGTGACTTCTACCATCCTGTTCTCTTGATGAGAGAGAGAAAAAAAAAGAGCCTTGCGTGTTATAGGCCAGTCATGTATCCAAATATCCCCGTTTTTGAATAGTCCACGTTTAGAAATACATTATTGTTTGGTCTCTCTGCTCTGAAGTTTGGCTATTTCACTTATTTAGAGTATTATAAGCATTATAATAGTATCATATTATAGCATTCCTTACTAGAGTAATATTAGTATGGTATTTATTAGTACCATTAGTACTGTTGTTAGTATTACTATAGTAATATTATAGATTCTTATAGTATTAATTTACTGTGGATTTCTAGAAATCCTAAGTTCAGTTCTACTTGGTAAAGGCTTCACTGAGAACTAACATAACATTTTTGTCATTAACATTGGATTATCTAGTTTTGTAATAATATGACTATTTTTTAATTAGTTTCATGGCTGCTGCTCCTTTTCCATTTTATTGAAATCAATTCTGAAGAAAGTATTTTTAATTGGAAAATTATTAGTACTTATCTGTTATCTCATTGTTTCATTTCTATTTCGATTAGTGATCCAGATATCTCATTTTTTTATCTTTCTTTTCTATTCTGAGTATTACAGACAAAGAGAGGGCAAGGTTTTGTTTCATATATGCAGTTCAGAGACAGACACAGATTTGATTTGAATGGGAATACACGCTATTTCAAGTCACAGTTGAGGGCAAGAATGCTATGACAGTGGATCTAATTGTGGAGATACTATTCACTGTAGATCAGGTGCTTAATAATATCTCGTCTGGTAAAATAATTGTGAGGAAGGCTTTACTGTTTTGAGAACCTGCAGTTATAGCTCTATAGAGCTGAAAGACTTCCAAATATAAAGAAGCAACCTTCTGAAGCCTTTTTTTGGTAGTTCTAGAGAAATTTGCAAAACTGTGATGAAATTTGATTTTTCTGTGAGACTAAATAGAGCAAAGGATGCTGTGACAAGGTGAGGGTTGCTGTGAAATGGAGAAGTGTTTGGAAGAGAAGCTCTGGGTAAAGGAAGGGCACAACCTGACATGAGGTGAGTGCTTTGTGCTTGATAAAAAATAGGCCTGGTCTTATGCATGAGACTAGAACAACCTTTTTGGTCGTAAAATCATTGCAGGTGACAACATTACATAGTCCCTTTTATAGATCATTTAGGCTTGAGCTTAAAACTAGCTGTTTTTTTAAGCCCAGCTTTTTCTATCAAAAAACTGTCCAATTCCCCATTCTTCTGCTAGAAATCTCCTTTTACTTTCTAGCTTATACTTATTCATACAGATTTTGTACTCAAAATGTTCATGCCAACATAGCCCTTTACTTTTATTAGCTCTGCTCCCTCCTGGTGTTTATTTGTATAAATACTTGAGAAGGCAAGAAATTGTGTTCTCAACATTCATTCTTTAAGGAAAATAGTCTTGAGTATATTGTACTGTGGTCCAGAAACATGAATTAATTTTAGAACAGCCATGAAAATGAGCTAGCAGAACGATGAATGAAAGTGAAGATATTGTGATTTGAGATGCATTACTTGGTTGAGAAAACGCAGTATTATATTGTAAGAGAATATCTAGTAATTTTTTCTACAACTGTAGTATAAGAATTTTAGCA